GGCCTAAGGCCCCGCCGGGCCCCCTCAGCCGGGTAAGCGGCCCCCGCTGCTCTCCCATCGGGGGCACAGCTAAGCCTGTAGGATTTTCCTCGGGTACAAGAGGGGACCGGCACTGAGGTAAGCTGGAAAACCAAAGGCGTGCTTGGGGCTGGCGGCCGTCACACCAGCCAAAGGGACCGACTTGAGGGGGGTAGCTGAGAGGCCCCACAGCTCGCATGGAGAACCCCTTTGGCAGGGCGAAAAAGAAGGCAACCCGCCATGTTCTGCACTGTAGTCTGTGCAGAAGAACTCGGTTTTGGAGGAGGAGTGCCCGGTAGGGATGCGGACTGACTATTTCAGACAGCAACTTGAGTATAGGGTTGCACTTCTACATAGTTGGCATCGTGCAGGGCAGCCACGTTGTGGTAGCGGTTTGCTGTCTTTATGCCCTTTCCCTGTTGCTATATCCCTCCTCTATTTGTGCTGCCTTTGTCTCTGGCCCAGTGTTAGCATTTAGGCTTTGGCTTTTTCACTTTGTCTCATCCATCTACTTTCAGGCTGTTTCAGCTTGGCTTAGCTTGCTTTGCACAGAAGCCATTGTGCAAAAGCTTTATTTTTACAGTGCCTTGCTTTTAATGGTGGTGCATCCTACCCATGAGGCAGAACTCAACCTGTGCAGAACCGTAGAGGAGAGTCTTTTCTTTCCTTCAGGTACCTGGCTCATTCCTTGTCTATATTTGGACAAATCAGACAGTAGCCTAGCTTATTACAAAATATTGATTCATTCCTTCCACTTGTATCATTTAAGAAAAAGATCAATATAGGATAATTCTATATTTGACAGTACCATTTTACTTGCATTTTTTTGTCTGTTGAGGTGACTGATTTTGGCACATATAGTGTTGCTCTCTGACTTGTGAGCTACGTGCTGCTCAGTCGCCATTCAGTTTAGCTCCCATCCTGGGGACACCTCATATGACCAGAAGCTGGCTTAGGCACTGAATATATAAACTGAACAGAGTGGTGGGTGAGCACACAGTACTGTAGCCAAGATTGCCAGGTTCCCCCAACACACCCCTGCATGCTCCGTCCCATCCCGTCCTACAGTGATGTGAACTGCTGAAGACACTTTTACTTCTGAGCAGTGAATTGGTCCCAGCGCTCCTCCTCTTGCAGACTTCCTGCAGCGGCACCTCATTTCTGGCATGCGGTATATATGATCAGGAAGACTGGGTGTTTTTGTAAGAAGTTAGGTTTTTTTACTTGATTTTTGATCTCAAAAGGAGGCTGCCCCTTGCATATCTCAAGATTTGACCTTAAATTAACTGTAAATGTAGCAGAAAAACAGTGTTAATACTTTATATTCATGCACTCTAAGCATTCTTGTGTTCTAATAATTTAACGTACATTTTTACTGACTGCTAATTTAAAGTTATTTTTATGTTTATAAAAATAAAGCACTAAATTCACTGTTATCCACTCACAATTCTTTTTAATAGTCGGACACAAAATGAAGGTCATCCAAAGTGGTTCGTTCTGGGTGTTGGACAAGTCATAAAAGGGTTAGATATTGCTATGATGAATATGTGTCCTGGAGAAAAACGAAAAGTGGTCATTCCTCCGTCGTTAGCATATGGACAGCAAGGATACGGTAACAAAGAAGTTTTAATAATAAAACTTTGTCTTTACTCTGTTCTACCCTTTCAAATGTACAGTATTGTAAAAGACTGTAAGAATTGGTGATCCTATTATTTATGGAGGTGCTGAAGGTGACAACTGCAGCTGTGCAGCCTAATCCTGCTTATTCCTATGCAGTTTAAGTAGTCGTCATCATAGACCCACACCCAGGCCTTGCAGCTTGCATTAGAATTCAGTACATGGCACCCAGTATATTTTTCCAAGTATTGCCATAATACGAAAAATTGACAGCAAGAGAAAGATCCTCATGATTGATACCAGCATTTTTTGTTTTAATCTATTATATTCTGCTCATGTTTAGTTTCTATTATTTGACTTCTACCTGCTTCGCCTTCTAATGACATTCTGCTCATATGAGCAAAATGGAATGTAATCCAGTGCATGCCACAGAATTAATCTAAGTGAAAATAATTTGTTTAAAATACTGCTTACATTCTGGATAGTTAATGGATGATATCATCATATTACATAATAGTTGCAACGGTACGATGCGTGAAATCTGATTTGAAGTTACGGTGCTTAAGTGTGCAGTCTACCTTAAAAAAAAGAAAGTTCCAGTCAGAGTTTCATGCAGTGTTTCAGCACTCATAATTGTAGATAACTTAAATTCAGCTCTGACTTGGGTGTAGTAGTTTCTGTGAAAAGGTAGCTCCTGCTCTATAATAATCATTTGGTAGCAATATTATGTCAGAATTCCACGCACCAGTTTTGTCTTTCATATAATTCCATTGTAGCCAGTGAAGTTTACTGGGAATAAAGTTTCCCCCTTGAGCGTAATGTTTAATAAGTAAGTCTCATAACAACAAGGAAGAACACTGACACAAATAAATGTATGTTCTCTAACTCTAACACTAGTGTTAACTCTTTGTTCTAGGTAGCACTTCAAGACAGTATTCTTTTCCTGCAGCATACCTGTCCTCTGTCTCAGCACGTTCCTGCATGCTGGGGAAGATGCCTGCCTAATCTTGAATTAGAAAAGATGCATGTGGCTTTCTAAATCTTTACATATCTTTCCTTTGTCGGTATGTATATTTGTAAACCACTGGCACTGAATTCTAGTATTTTATCTTTCTTTTGTAAGTAGTATATAAACTGTGATTTATATTGAGATATATGTAAAACTACATTTTTAAAGCTCGCAAGATTAAGATCTTTTGAACTCTGAAACCTGTCACTTTTACTATGGATATTTTAGATGAGTAGTGTGAGTAACAGTTTTGTTTATCTTCTGTTTATAAACAAAGTAGATTTTTTCGTTTTCTTCAGTTCATGAAGCACGGCCACAAGCTCAAAACTCTGTCAAAATTCTGAGGTTACAATGTCATGCTCACTGGCTTTGGCTATGAATAGAAGCAGCTTGCATGTTTACATTTTAATTTTGCACTGCATGATTTCTTGATGCTTTTTTGGCACTACTTTTAGACCTCATTAGTTTGTTAGTCTCTCTTCAGTTCCCTTTTTTTGCCAGATGCATGATACATTGACCTGTGTTGATAGGCAGTAGTGGTTTTACATCAGATATGAGAAAATGCTTTGAGACAGAAATAATGAAGTCTAACATGTTCTTTTTTTTTCTTCAGAGACCAGACAAAATATTCCAGTAGTTTGGGGGATTTGAGGGATTTTTTTGTGTGAATCAGATGACTTGCATTCTATTGCTTCTTTCTAATGAGATGTATATTTTAAACACTATTTTACGTCAAGTCCTTTAACCATAGGTACAATTCATAGTAAGTTGGTAAAACCTGATGTTGCCTGTTTGTTTCTTCAGACAAAAAATATGTATGAGAATTGGTCTGTTACTGTAATCTTTTAAATCAGATTGCAGATATTTAACAAAGGCACATGTCTTATAATCAGTCTCTGAATAAGCCCCGTCATATGACAGTATGTGAAAGAGTAAGAACTTTAGAAATACTTGTTTTTCATGATAACACAAACCGTTCTCTTAATTTTTGAAAGTACCTGAATTGATATAAGCAATATAATTTTGTTTCAGGAAAGTATATTGTTCGCAAATCTCTCTCAAAATCATTTATCTAACACAATCTGAACAATCTTCCTGTCTAGCAGTATAATATTTAAATTCAGTTTAATCTGAATATTAACACAGCCTTTTGGAATAAAAAAAATAAGATGCTTTACATGTGAATTTATCATATATGTGACCTGTGACCATAATGTCTGATTTCTTAAATGCTTTTTTTTTTTTTCCTTCTATTCATAGCACAGGGAAAGATTCCACCCAATGCAACATTGATCTTTGAGATTGAACTTTATGCAGTAAATAAGGGACCTCGCAGTGTTGAAGCATTTAATCAAATAGACAAGGACAGTGACAAGAAACTCTCTGAACTTGAGGTAATGTGATGTAACTAATTTGGAATAAGTAATTTAGAAAACTGTAGGTACAGTTACATTGGGGTTATCTTTACACGAGCTGCCTCTGCTGCAGTTCATGGTATAAAGCTTCTGTATACTTACACAAACTACACTGTGCAACATTGAAATTTGCTTTGATTAATACATTAGTATGTCTCAGCCTTGCTGGGAAACAAACTTTAGACATGTCTGCACTGGAGTCACAATAACTTACATATGTACCCTAAGTGTCCTTGAAGATTGCTGTTAAGTGCCGGCGTAAAAGCCACAATGGTTGGACGTTTTTCTTTTCTTCTAGATAAGTCAGTATTTGAAAGAAGAATTTGCAAGAGATGGCAAAAAACGTCATCCCTCAGTCCATGATGAAATTTTAGCTGATATATTTAAGAAGAATGACCACGATGGAGATGGTTTCATATCAGCAAAGGAGTACAATGTCTACCAGCATGATGAACTCTAAGTACTTAAAAAATCTTTGGCTGTTTTCTGGACACTGAATTTTAAATAATAATACTTTGTCACAGGATTATTTTTTTTTTTTATAGTGGCATCTTTTTATATCTCTTAAGGCAACTGTAAAAAAATCTTATTTTTATCATTCAACTAACAAAATGCGTTGGATCTTTCAAAAGAAAAAAATAAAATGGGAAAAACCCATGATCTATTATTAGTGGTTCCTGCATCATGTCCTAATCTACAGTATTGCTCAGTAGTCTTTTTCTTTGTGTAAAATACTGATGAAAATAATTATTTCTGTCCTATCAAGCACAGAAAAATGCTTCCAGTACCTGTTGACATAGATAAAACATAGCTTTTCAATCCCCTGTAAAGTAAAAGGGGAAAACATAATTCCAGGAAGGTAACTCCATGAAACCTTTGCAGGCTTGTAGGCTAGCTTCTTGAGGAATTGCTGTTTGCAGCAAATTTAACTATAAAAGGCCTTAAAATAAAGGAACTCTGGCCATAGAATGTCAAAATAAAAACAGAAATGTTTTTAAAGCAACTTAAAATAATAACTTTGATTTAATATTAACATGAATAATTTCGTGTTCATGCAGTATTTAAGTGAATTTGTAAACTGACTTGGGGCATCTACAAGTTCTCTGGGTAACCTGTTCCAGTGCCTCACCACCTCATAGCAAAAACCTTCTAATATCTATTCTAAATCTCCCCTCTGCCAGTTTGAAGCCATTGCCCCTTGTTCTATCGCTACATGCCCTTGTAAAAAGTCCCTCTCCAGCTTTCTTGCAGGCGCCCTTCAGATACTGGAAAGCTGCTGTAAGGTCTCCCTAGAGTCTTCCCGTCTCCAGGCTGAACAACCCCAACTCTCTCAGCCTGTATTCATAGGAGAGGTACTCCAACGATCATCTTGGTGGCCCTCCTCTGGACCTGCTCCAACAGGTCCATGTCCTTAAATTGAGGGCTCCAGAGCTGGACGCGGTGCTCTAGAGCTGGATGCAGTACTCCAGGTGTGGTCTCACGAGAGCGGAGTAGATGGGCAGAATCACTCCCGGAACCTGCTGGCCACGCTTCTTTTGATGCAGCCCAGGATACGGTTGGCCACCTGGGCTGTGAGCACACATTGCTGGCTCATGTTGAGTTTCTTATCAACCAACACACCCAAGTACTACTCCTGAGGGCTGCTCTCAATCCATTCTCTGCCCAGCCTGTATTTGTGCATGGGATTGCTCTGACCCACCTGCAGGGCCTTGCACTTGGCCTTGTTGAACTTCATGAGGTTTGCACAGTCCCACCTCTCAAGCCTGTCCAGGTCCCTCTGGATGGTATCCCTTCCCTCCAGCGTGTTGACCGGTCCACACAGCCTGGTGTCGTCAGCAAACTTGCTGAGGGTGCACTCAATCCCAACATCCATGTCACCAATGAAGATGTTAAATTACTAAGTTATCAGTTTATTTAGCAGCATCAAGTTAAAAATCTACGGTATCGTGATTTACTTGGGTGAGGTGGAAGATGATGGGAGATACTGTATATAAACATCAGTAATTATTTGGGCATCATTCTGTTTTTTCTCACTTTGGAAAAATGCAAAGAAGTAGCAATAGTTAATAGACAGTATTTCATGCTCGTTAACTGTTCTGCTTATGCAGATGTCATTATAATACTTGTGTAATGTACTTTTCTCATGTGAAAAGCAATAGCTGTATTTTATTTCAACAGATAATAATCAGATGTACACAGTGAAAGTAGCAGCGCAAGTAAAAAAGCTGCCATACCTGGGGTATCCTTAAAATCATTCTAAAAGGTAGAAAACCATTTTGTAATTGTTTTCCCAGTTTAAAATAGCACGGGGAGAGCTTCAACAGTACAGTAGCAAGTCTCAGTACTGGACTCTAGTCTGTAGTGCCCTCTGGTGTTCATATTCTCGATAGACTCAATTTTCTGCAATTGAGATACAATGGTTAAAGACCTTCACCCCTCAAGTCTTGTTGGAAGGATGTAATTCTGTTATTTTTGTAAGCTTTCAAAACATTTTCTGCTAAGCAATTTTTTTTTCTGAACACAACAGAAAGTCAAGAGCAGCTGTGATCTAAAATCCGAATGCAGAAGGTGGACTGGCAGATACTTTTTAGTAATCTAACCAAACTGGTGACATATGGTAATGGCATCTTAATATGAAATGCCTATCCCTAGTTTTAGTTGTTCCCTTTTGTAAATGAAACATTAGACTGAGCTAAGTTTTAGTGTGTTTTTTAATCTGATACTTCAATTAAACATTCATGAGAACACTAAATTATTAACAAATATTCTCATTTTACCACCATATGCCAGTGTAGATAAAGGCAACATATTGGGGTTTAACAGCAAGTTTGTGTAAACAACTTAAAATAAGTTCTAGCATATATTTTGACATTATGAAAATTCAGTTTAAAAGTACATTTTTCATTATCATGATAATGAAAGGAGAAGGTTCTAAAAGAAAATAAGCAATGTCCAGGAATGCATGAGGGCATTTTCAAGTAAAAGGTCATTGACAGCGAAGCTAATAATTTGAAGGTAATAGTGTAGTAAAATGTTTTGCACTTTCGCTATTTTGCATTTCAACAATTAGAGTCATATTTACTAATTCTCTGAAAAATTTGTGGCACAGTTATGCCTGTGTCTGTGACAACAGGCACTTCCCTAGCTCAGTTACTTTACTCTCTTATGCCAGAGGTCAAAGCAGGGCACAGCATGCAATCGTACATACTTTTGTCCATTAAAAGAGCACTCGAGGCATCCGTAGACTGTCTCCCTTTTAGAACTTCCCATGCCACAAAGGACACAGGGACCTTTGGGGATGTTGTTATTAAGTAAATTAATTCGGATATGAGACCCTTCTCTGAGATAGCTTGTAGAGAGATCGGTCATGCTCGCAGCTTTTTCATAATAATCTGTAAAAAGGTCCTCCAAGTAAGCATCAGAGTTAGCAACGATATCCACTACTCTTTTATCTGAAAAAGAATGCACACAAAAAAGAAGCAATGATTTGTCATTACATTATGAACTGTTTACAAAGCAACCTGTCAATTTAATTATGGAAATAACAACTGATTCATGAAACCATTCTAAACATGCCACTGTGTAGATTACTTCCCATCAAAAGCCCTGTATGATGAAATTTTTTCTTCAGTTTCATGAAAGACACTGATGAAAGCCAGATTTTTTGTTTGTATATGTTCTATATAATTACAATATTTTTAGAAATACACCTAGAAGATAGGCCTGAGGCAAGCTTTTGAAAAAGTGGTGCCAAATCAAATCACGGTTGCGTACTTTCCTGTTTAACCATTTTTATTTTTGCATTTCTCGTTTTAGTTTCTAAATCTTGTAAATCCACTTTTTTTCCTAGTATTTACCAAAAAAAAAAAAAAAAGAAAAGTCACTACTTTAAAAAAAGTCACTTAGAAACTTTGGAGGACTCCGTGGTGACCTCCTAGCAGATTCCTGAGCATCCAAACACCCCAGGAAGAAATCACTTTTGGAACTTTGGAACTACCTACCTTTTTTCGCTCTCTTCAGGGACTGATTAGTTTAGATGTGATGACAAACTTTTAGGCAGCTACAACTACCATACCCACCAAAGATTTATTGCCTTAAGCGTGGACTGGAGCAGCACTGAATGCCTGCTCCATAAAAGCTCTTTGATCAAGAATGGGATACAATGGAGCAAGGGCAACTCTACAGAGCAGCCTTTAGAAGGATGTGTTTACTGCTCAAAGTTTATCTTCACACTTAGATTTGCAGACTTCCAAAGTAATTAGACCAAGGAGTGTTAAAGTACAGGATCTTGTTCTGAAGAAAATATAGCTACATATAGTGACATTTTTGTTGGATGTTGTGCGTATCAAAATGGGAAAAGAGAACTATGATGGTATCTTGCCCCTGTCCCTGCCAAGTGAACGTATAGCCTAAAGAGTACATTCAAATATTAAATTAAGGTTGTTTGATATTTCATAGAATCATAGAATGGTTTAGGTGGGAAGGGACTTTGAAAATCATCTAGTTCCAACCCCCCTGCCATGGGCAGGGACACTTCCCACTAGACCAGGTTGCTCAAAGCCCCATCCAACCTGGCCTTCAACACCTCCAGGGATGGAGCTTCCACAGCTTGTCTGGATAACCTGAAATGTTTTGCACTTTGCGCAAACCTTAAAAATTTAAACTTAAAGAGTTTGCCCTTATTTATAGTTTATAACTTGTATTGCATAACACTAGTTGTAAATGGCAAGCATATGAAATATGCTTAATGTTAACTGAAGTTAGTTGTATAATTACTCCATACCAGTTTATCATCAGCCATAATTTTTTATTTTAAAATGTTTAGAGATTTAATGAACAGCAATACCATAGATTTGTTATTTGTGAAAGAGTCAGATTCTCAAATACAAATTTTAATAACTTCACAATCATTTCAATACACATAAAATTGAGGTACATCTTCTATTGAAGTTTTCTTGTTTAAACATTCATTTTGCACACAAATTAAAGAAACAAAAATACACTTTTCATGTATTAACTAAGACATTTGGATATAAGTATCAAAAGTCATACTTCGATGAAACAGATTACTCTTTAACCTCCTTAATTTGGTCAGTGAAGATGATCCCGATTTCTCTTTTTCAAATCCTCCTTTTGAAATTGGAGTCACACAGAGTTCTGTAAAAATTGAGGTTTTAGAACACAATATAAAAGCAATAAATGCACAGCAGAGTTTAATATGCATTCTAATCTATAAAGCTAACAGTGAATAAATTCACCTTTGCTTATGTTTTTAATGGCTAGTACCACTTTTTAATGTACGTCTGCACACAGTAATAGCCCACAGAATCAGATGACACAGATTCAATGGGAATTTTAAAATGTTGATGGCTTTCAACATACACCAGAGTTTGTTTTGGTTTATGCACAATTTATGGCCATGGTAAGGGACCAAGACAGTCAATATCACATGAATGGGACCCCGCTTCTGAAGGAGAAACATTTCTATGATCTCATTTGAAACCAAAAATGAAAAATAATAAGCAAGACTGCAAGTTCTGTAGTCATCTCTTCCAACATCAAATCAACTACTAAAACTTTTTTTTTTAAATGAAAATAAGTATCACCTAAGTTTCCATGCATAACTTGAAAGAAAACCTTTAAATTGATAT